TTCTAAAAGAGCAAGAGCAGTGAAGTATTCATTCAACGCCCACTGCCTAACACAGTTCCCAGCACATCATAAGTGCTCTGTAGCCAAGCTGTCCGCTTGTGCCCTCTGTATATAATGTGTACCAAGGCTTCTTATACAGTAAAACTGACTTGGAGCTCTAACTATTTAAGTATGTCATTATTTGAAGAATTCACTTTTTGGATGAGACATGGGCCAGGGGAATGATCAGTGGGATCTATAACTCTAGGTCAAAGAGGAAGGAAGCTTCCATTTGAAGAGTTCATAAATGGCTTTGCTGCCACATGGTAAAGTCAAAAGCACTTGAAATAAACAGCTCAACACAAACTGAATTGAATCCCTACCAAATTGAATCACTTATCATGTGGTACTAGAGACATCACATCTGTCTTTTCAGCAATGTATATTCCTGGAGGTGAGAGGTTATGCGAGTCTTGTTCATTTTTGCTCCCCAGCACTCCGCCTACCGTGCCGCACAGCACAAGCCTCCAAGCACATGAAAGCAAAGCAGATGAGGCAGTAAAAGAAGAAGAAAGGAGGCAAAAATCATAGTCAGTTAAAGCAAGAGGGTAAGAACTCAGTGCAGGCTAGTAAGGACGAGGAAAGGAATCCCACATGCAGATCAGAGGCTTCCAGCAACGACAGAGGACTCCCACAGACAGCTTATGTTACAGAGGAAGGAGGGAAGCTGGTGAGTCGACCTGGAACACGGAAGCATAGAATGAGCTCTGAGAGGAGGATTGGCATCAGCTGTTAATTCAGGGCTAATCTTCCTGACAAAAAAAAAAAAAAGTAAGAATGAGTTCTGAAACTGAGCTGAGAGAAGGGAGAGAAGCAAGCAAAGAGAGGACTGGGGAGACATAAACAAGGAGATGAGCTCCCAAGGTCAGAAGATGAGAAAACCATCTTTATTAAAACCACCACTCATGCAGGGAAAGTGGGGAGAAAGATGAAAATACAACTATACAAAATGACTGGGGAGCAGAGGCAAGAGTACAAGGCGAGTCTAGAAGATCTCTTTATGGGGATATTAGGAAAAGCAAGACGTGGGTAGAGAGGTGGGGGAAGTCTGCTCTGAGCCCCAAAACCGCCCGACTTTGGAGCAGATGCAAACCACCAGAGTCACCTTTTCATCTTTCTTACTCCTATGTCCTTTTTCTTCTCCCTCTTTATTTTTATCATCCTTCCCCTTTCCTCCTGCTGCCAGGAGCGTTGGCCAAATAACATCATGTGCTTCTCTCAGGTTAGTGGAACAGATCCGTTCGAGTTCTGCCTTTATCTATCCCAATGATATGGCCAGAAAGAGGAAGAGGAAAAGGGCTGGTTGTCCTTTCAGTGTCTCTTTAAAGATGAGCTTCACGGAACAGAAAGGCAATGACAGGAACCACAAAAGAACTTTGAATGTCGAGGTGACATGCACATTCTAGTTACCATGACTTGCGGTCAGCAAGTGGATACCATTGTGTCTAAATTATGAACTCTCTAAAGAGCAACCAAATTGTATTACAGACTTGGGTGAGGGTGCTCTGGAGGAGGGAAGGAATGCCACTAACTCCCAGCACTCACTGGCTGGGTTTCCTAGCCCCAGTGGCTTAGGACCCAGTGCTACACGTTCTACATAACCCCATCGAACTGTAAAGGTCCTTCTACAGTACCATGTACTGGGAATAATTAGAATTAGTATGTTTTAAGCAAATAGGATAACTGAATCATGTACACTGGTGTGGGGCCTTTTATTACATAGTCCCAACACTGAAAACTCAAATAGTATGAAATTACCTCATATTTGAGGAAAATGCCCTCAATTTTGATGAACAAGTAATTTTACTCACCCTTCATACTGAAACATCTTTGAATAAACATTGTTTGTCCTCCTACTGCATTGAATTTCCACCTTAAACAACTCTAAACCCTCCAATTCTATGGATTCATGTTCTAAACCCATTTCAGAATTAATTCTGTGAATCCCTCCCTGTGAGATTGAGAGTAAGCTGTGTTATCTTACTCCAAAGAATAGCAGTCATCAATAGTATTTAACAAGGTGTGCAATCTTTTCTTGGCAGACATAAATGTTGAAAGGAAATCACCATCTTAGATCAAGAAAATACAATCTATAATTTTTGTGAAAGGCCAGTGTCTATCAAATCTGTTTTCACATTTTGTATATAGACAGTCCTCTAACTTATAAACTTGTTGAATTCTAAAAGTTTGACGAAAATCAGTTGTGGAAAGGAGAGAGGTATTTCTCCACTGTAAGAATTACACACACACAGGGGCTGGCCCCATGGCCTAGTGGTTAAGTTTGGCATGCTCTGCTTCAGTGGCCCGGGTTCAGTTTCCAGGCATAGACATGCACCACTCCTCAGCAGCCATGCTGTGGTGGCGACCCACATACAAAATAGAGGAAGACTGGCACAGATGTTAGCTCATGGCGAATCTTTCTCAGGAAAAAAAAAGAATCACACACACAATAATTCTCAGGGCAGCTCACCAAAGCCTTTTAACTTGTGTTCTACCTAAAACAACAGCAATAATACTATAGAACCAACAGTTAAAGTAATGTCTCTATCGGAAAATGCATTCAGAGTTCCCTTTTGAGATGCCGAAACTCTCCCTTTCTGGCAATGAAAGTAGGGGCTCCCGTTGCTCAAACCAGGCTTTGAGTGTGGCCATGGTGTGGTCTTTGGGGAGGAGGGTCTCTGTGCTGGAGACCAAGACTGGGAATGCAAAGTCAGGGAAGTGAACACACAGCCTGTCTAGACTGGAAGGAAAGGTCATGGCAGACAATAGTGGGAGAGAAGGTTCCAGGGAGCAAGTGGGACAGTGGGGCTTGGGATGGGGTGAGCAAAAGCACTACAGAGCATAGACATGCAGTTTCTCACCATCTCTACCCATCTCCTTTGCATCCCCAAATTTCTTCTATTTCTTTCTTTTTATCCTTTTTGGAAGGCTTTGTGGGGAATGACTGAAAGAAAGGAAAGGCTACAGCAGGGTCTGTGCTATAAAAGGAAAGGAAAAGGGGAGGGAATCAGCAGTAAGAAATAAAGTGGGAGAGATGTAGTCTTCTAGATAGAGACAAGGGGTGGGTTTTTCACATGTGAGATGTGCATTCATAAATTAGAACCTTGTCTGTGAGGCTCGTGCATAGACCCAAAGTAAAGAGAAAACAATAGCTACCGCTCTAAAGCGAAAGAACAATTAGCAAATTAAATTAACTGGAGTCCTTGTGAATGCTTCCTTTGTAAAGCATGATCTCTTTCTTTCTTTTTTTTTTTTTTTATTGAGGAAGATTTGCTCTGAGCTAACATCTGTTGCCAACCTTCCTATTTTTGCTTGAGGAAGATTCACCCTGAGCTAACATCTGTGTCAATCTTCCTCTATTTTGTATGTGGGTCACCACCACAGCATGGCTGACAAGCGGTGTAGGTCCACACCCGGGATCCAAACCTGCGAACCGGGGCCCCCAAAGCAGAGTGTGCCAAACTTAACCACTACGCCACGGGGCCAGTCCCAAGGATAATCTTTTCTTCAAAAAAAAGTACATTCGAAAAATTTATTACACACCTATTGCACTTCACCAGGCACAATGTCTTCATCAAAGACACTGGAATCCTAGAGTAAATATATGCTCATATTTTTAGGAATTCACACATCTCAAATTCTATCATAGAAATTCAGCTTCAGTCACCAGTTTCAAGCAAGGTAGCCTACTTCAAACAGTTGTGTATCCTTCAAACAAAATTATATCCAGAACTAATTCACCAATGTCCTTTTTTACTACTTGTTACAGATATTTAGCATTCTTTAGCTGTAACATAAGCACAACCTGAAAAATTTATACCTTTGTCCACTTCAAGCTATAAATCTTATCACTTTCATGAATAATTAATTTGACACACATTGAAAATCAAAAATACAAACAAGAATATTAATTATTTTAAACAATGTCTGGGAATAGCACCTCTTTCCAGAAATTATTTGAATAATGAATTTAATCTCATATTCTTCAAAATACCTCACAATTAGAATTTTTTCTCATGTAGTTTTTTTCTAGAGAGATCTATTTGGTCCTGTTGGGCACAAACATGATGTGAGAGGAAATGGCGAGAGCTGAGGAGTCTCTCTGGGGCTCTGTGCTACAAATGAGGAAAAACTCCTTTTTCTGTCAGCTATTTCCTCACTGGCAGAAGACACTCATTGGAAACACTGGTTTATGTGGGGTCAAAATGGGATAAGGGGGAGTCTGGGCTGGTGAGCAGAGTCCCAATCGGAGTTTAAATATAATTTTTCCTCTCTCACTGGGAATTTAAGGCTGTTGCCTTAACTTTGTTTTCAATCTATTTTTTCATCCACAAACTAAGGAATACGTCCTACAAAATATCTGAAAACTCCACTAGGGATTCAGAAGCTATGTGGAATGGATTGTTCTGAACATGTTCCACAAGACTCGTTTCTAGTCTTCGTGCAAGCTTTTGGTGACTATGCTCAAGTGAACTTTAACGCCAAGTTAAAATGGAGGTGTTTTCCTGACATCACAGAAAGTACAACTGGCTCCTTTGAAAGTCTCAGGGGCAGTCAGGGTGATCCTGGCTATTTCAGACACTGGACTGTGAGAAGCAAGTTAGGACAGGGGATGTAGTTTCGGTAAAGATTGGTTTAACAGTGCTCAGAATCTCTCCCCACTTGACAGGGAAAATTCCTCTAGATTTCAACCAGAGAACAAGTAGCTAGAAAATGGGAAAAATAAGAAAACATTGTGTCTAATCCTGTATGTCTTAGGACACCTACTCAGTCTCTTCATTCCTGGTAATGATCCAAAGAAAGGGTTATCTTTATCTTAAATCATACAATGTCCCATTTATATACATTAGACAACTTATCTCTTATGATTAGAACGCCATCCAAATCTCTAAGACACACCATAAGAAACACAAAAATGGCACTGTTATTTATTTGGACTTTCAAAATATTATTTGCATTACCTCTGAATTAACAACTTCCATTGGTCTTTTCTTGATTTCTCCTATTTCCAAGTAACTGAAGGGAAAAAAAAAAAAATAAGGGTTTCTTTTATAGCTTTTGCATCAGATATGTAAATTTCTTTTTAAAAATTATTAAAAAGTAAAGCAAGCTATAGGAAATACTTAAGCCTAAAGAAAAAATCAATAGCTACTAATTAAAAGCTAGAAGGAACTGCTTTCAGCATCACCAGCCAGAGCTAACATGTGTCTACTCTAAACTTCAATGAAACTGAATTCTTAGAAATACATACTTCTATTGGGGAACATCTTTTTCCCCACAATGGTTAGCTACTTACTATATATATGATATTTCTGATATTTATATCAATTTTTATATAAAGAGTGGTTTGCTTGTAAAGCTGCTTAACAATTCCATTGATCATAGACTTCAGGTCAAAGAAAGTACGAGAGCATGCATTAGTGTAACAACTGTGCAAGGTTGGGAAATCTTTTTCCCTATGAGAGCACTTTAATGATACAGAAATGCTCAGCCATGTGGGATGGTTTAGGTATTGGTTCAGCTAAGAGACAGATGGGTGGACTAGTTAACCTCTGGAGACCCCTATTATTCCATTACTGTTTGCTACGGATATTAACTAGTGATCATTCTTTAACTATAGCATAAGCACAACCTGAAAACTTTATACCTTTGTCAACTTCAAGCTATAACTCCATCACTGTAATCTGGTTCCTCTGCGCTTCATACACAGAAAGTGCTAAATAAACATTTTAACATAAAACATAAGTATAAATCTAGCATTTAATTTATAACCATAAATAAATAGATTCTCTACCTCAACTATCATAATTTTATATTAAAATTAATTTTGGCTATTGCAATGTGTTTTATTGTTGTTGTTTGCTTTTTTGAATAGAATGCTTTAATCGATACCTGTGGAAATTATCATATATCTGTCCTAAATAAACAGTATCTATATAAGACAGTGCAACTATCCCCTCTGTTTAGCAATAAAATGGCTCTTTGCAAATCTGCAGGGGCTTATTTCTGACATAACACCAAAACATTCTAACTGTCATGTGCAGGAAATTAATCTCAGATCCACAAGATTAATGTAGCAGAGTCAACTTCCAAAAATGCATGGGGAAAATAATAATCTCTAGAATTCTCTGCTATGAAAGTTTAATGGCTACTAGAAGTTTAACCATGGTTTCAAAACTATTAGGAAAAATCTGCGTGAAAGAAATTCAAGCAGGAAGTTGATCATTTTTATTTGAAAAATATTTTTCCACCATTGCTATCTTCCCCCACATCATTTAGGGTCCAAATGACACGAATTACCCTCTATATCTTCTCGGCTTTCTTTTGCTCTGCCAGTTGCTTGGTTTGTTATATAAACTTACAACTGCTAAGCATTTATTTAAGCATATATTTAGCATTTAAATCTTCTTGGCTTCTATCATTATAACCATAGATACTACCACTTTAACACAAATAAATAAACTATTCATCTGTCAGCATGGAAAACTAACCATGGACACTGTTATAACAAACTCAGGCTTTTTGTATGTGAATTAAAAGCAAAAACAACCACGCAAATCTCTCGTATATATAAAGAGTGATTTGAAGTGCACTTTCTATTTGGTTTGGAACTGTACCTGTTTTTATCTTTTGAGTTGGTAGTGCCAAATAAACAAAAGAGAATGTGAATTACTAAAGTGAGTCTACAATTTTGAGCTGTTAATAGATTCTGAACCAGATTTCCATTCCCATGAAATTGTTTTATATAGAAACTATTTAATAAAAAATAAAGTGTATGGTAAAAGGAACTGGCCGTAGAGATGTTTTACATCTATGTAACACTTTGGTGTTTATGAAACACATTCAGATCCATAGTATTTACTTTTTACAACTCTGTGAGGTAGAAATGGTCATGTTCCTTTTCTTTATTAGGAAACTGACTAGCTGAGTCAAGTGGCTTGCCCAAGGATACAGAGCTAATAAACAGTTCAGTCTCAAGTCTCCTGATTTTAAGGTTTTTTTTTAATCTTTCTTTTCATACGTAGATTATGGATTATTTCTAGGTATGAGTTCCATACTTTCTTTAATCTAGCACTTCACTAGTTTGTGGGGGGTTTTTTGAGGTCATATTGGCTTAAACGTTGTGTAAATTTCAGGTGTACATTATTATATATCTGTGTATGGTGATGGATAAAAACCAGACTATTGGTATTGAACACAATGCAGTCTATTAAATTTTAAGTGCCAAGTTTCTTTGAAGCACACGCCTTCATCTAGTTCTTTTCTATGAAGCTAGACAAAGCTAGAGAAAGGAGGTTTCAGGGAAGGGAAAAATAAATCAAATCGCATCCCTCACCTCCCATAAAAAGAATGTCTGGCATAACAAAAAGCAGAACACCTAGAACTCAATTTAAACAAACTTAGGAAAGAAAATATGGTATTAGACAACTTTAGTGATATGTGGGAAAATATTTCTATACAGTTAAAATCAGAATTCACAAGCACAGATTTCTGGTAAAGATATTTTTTTGCTATCCAGAGGCTCAAACTGAATTTTAATTAAAATATTATATTAAAAACTATGCAAGATAGTTACCATATGATCCAGAAATTCCACTTCTAGGTATATACCCAAGAGAAATGAAAACTTACACATAATTGTTCATAGCAGCATTATTCATTATAGCCAAAAAGTGAAACAACCCAACATCCATCAACTGATTAGTGAATAAATAAAACATGGAATATTCATACCACGGAATATTATTCAACAATAAAAAGAATGAAGTACTGATACATGCTACCACATGGACGAAACTTGAAAACACTATGCTAAGTGAAAGAAGCCAGAAACACAAAAGGCTGCATATTGTATGATTCCATTTATACGAAATGTCCAGAACAGACAAATCTATAGAGACAGAGAGTAGATTAGTGGTTACTAGGGGATGGAGAGAAGCGGACATTGGGAGGTAAGGGGTTTCTTTTTGGAGTGATAGAAATATTCTAAAAAGAGTTTGTGGTGATCGCTGCACAATTCTGTGAATATAGTAAAAACCACTAAAGTGGGTGGTTTATGTTATATGACATCTACCTCAATAAGGCTGTAAAAAAAAAAAAACCCTATGAAATATTAAATTCTACCTGTCCTACAATCCCACCCTCACCAGGAATAATCTCGCTCAACTCTCAACTCCCACATAACTTTATTCTTCTAATTGCACTTATCCCTTTGTAATTTGCATGAAAAGTATTGGTGTGCATATAATCTGTCTCCTGTTACACTCTGAAGTCCAAAAGACGGGAGTGATGTCTTGTTCATCGTTTCCCTTCACAGACCTCAGCACAGTTTGCTAATTCACTACTATGAGTGAGCTCTCTGCCAGGAACTGGGGATCAGCGCCAATAATGACCCCTGTGCTTGAAGGTTTAACCATCAGGTACCTGGAGACAGACATATAGACAAATACAGGAAGCCAATAAACTTTTCCAAGCATTAGCATTATGCCAACGGCATAAACATGCAGGGGTGAGAGGAGGGTCACAACAGTGAGGCGTGGTCCCTTCTGCTTGGAATGAAAAGTTGCAAGAATTTAAACGGGGGGGGGGGGGACACGACACAGGGAGCACTTTCTCCTCTAGAGACAATACAGTATCCAATACTTCAAAGTGATTTTTAAGAAATCTTTATGTAAACTTAAAAGATAGGTTCCAAGAAAAAAGAAAAAGTGGAAAGAGAAAAAGCAGAACAGAAAATGCTAAAGTATCAGTTTAGTCACTAAATACTTTTCTTTTTTTTTTTTTAAGATTCCTGTTCCTGATACACACGTTTTAAGTCTATTTCTACAGCTGCTACCCAAGTGAAATTCCTTCTCCAGTCACACTTTCAAACTCGAACCCCAACTGCAGCGGGAGCGTGGAGAGGCATCAACGCGCGCAGTCACAGCCCTCGACACACTGCGGTGTGGGTGACGCGAGAGTCAGTCCCTTCCTCGTGCCAACCGCACACCTTAGTGCACCCTGAAATGGTGGGCGGTGGGGACACATGGACTCACTTGAGTTTCTTGAAGGCTTCCTGGCCCCCAGCCACGTAGTTGCCCCCGCTCTGGATCTGCTCTAGCTTCCGGATGCGGTGCCCGGTCCGCGGGGTGTAGATGTTCCTGACGGCCCCAAAGGGCGCCTGAACGCCGCCCGTCACCTCCTTCAGGAAGACGTCGAAGCTGGACACCTTCTTCTCATGGATGACGACGCGGCGGCCCGCGAAGAAGGGGTCCCCGTTGCGGTACACCAGCACGCTCTTCACGACCGGCTGAGACAGGTGGCTGGACCTGGCGCTGGTGCCGCTGCCGCTCATCTTCCCCACGGGACGCCGGCCCGGCTCGCTTCTCCGTGGGGGGCACCTCCGCTGCCCCAGCGGCCTCAGCGCACACACAGCGCGGGGTCGCCCCTGAAACCAATGGGAAACAGACAAACCCACAGGTAAAAGCGAAGCAACGGCCGTGCGCCCGGCGTCCAGCCCGCCGAGGACCCTACAGGCTGCAGGACTCACGGTCCACGTTCAAGTATTTCACCACACTCTGCACAGCCAATCAGCGCTCGCAGTGCGCGCACGACACCTGTTTCACACGCCACTGGAAGAAGCAAGGTGTAACCACCTCGGGACAGGAGCCGCGCGAGGGGCTCTAACCAGGCAAGCCGAGTGCGCGCGCACGCACGCACGCACACACACACACACACACACACAGAGGAATTATAAATACGATGAAACTCAATTTCTAACATCCTATTTGTGTTACTCTTTCCAAACGACTTAATTTTCTTTTCTCTCCGTGCCCCCTCACCTCTCAATTTCCTGCTGGCTTCCAAAATAAAGAAATTAAGATTCTGGCTGGAATTGCCCAGATTCTTCTTCGGAGAGAGCTCCCAAGACCCCTCGCCACCCCCCCTCCAGATGACCCGCGCCGCCCCGCGGCGAAGCTCCCTTGGGCACTGTTTGAATACCGCGGGCAGCGGCGCGCAACCGAGTCCCAGGCGGGGGGCAGTGGGTGGGGTCCCCGGGGAGGCGCCCGCCGCGGGGAACTTACCCACGCTCGAGGGCCGGCGGGGGAGGGGCGGGGCGGGGCGGGGCGGGGGCTCGGCGCTGCGGCTCCGCTGGCACCGCGGTGAACTCAGAGGGGGCCGCGCGTCGCTCCCGCTGTTCCTCCCGCTGCCGTTGCCTCTGCGGGCCTCCCGCACCCGGGGGGAACGGAGTTGTTATTTCCCGCCGTTTCCATAGCGACTGCGGCCACGCGGGGGGAGCGAGTCCGTGAACTAGGCCTGGCGCGCGTCTGGGGCCCTTGGGCTTTGCCCGCCGCCTCGGGCAGAGGCGCAGAAGGAGTAAGAGTTTAGGGGGCTGACGGGGAAGCCTGGGCGGCTTTATCATGAGGTCATTCTATAAATGAATGGCTACCGTGTGCCAGGCTCTGTGCTAGGAATTGGGGATACAGCGGCGGAGAGAATAACCTACAATATTTTGAGTGCCTACCGTATGCCTAGCTTTATGCCAAGGAAAGGGTTTTTCACTGCCTCAAAAAAGCTAAATGGCTAAATGGCTGGCTGTGCCCCAGAGCCCATGTCCATGCTGTTTGTGTAGATTGCATCAGTGTGTGGGTAAAATAGAGGAGGTTTGAGAATATTAAGAACTTCAGTAAGACGTACTTTGTTCAGTCCAGTCTGGGATGTACATATTGTGGGACCAAGAAAATTATTTTTAAAAAGTTGAAATCTTCCAGCACATCTCTGCTAGTATTACCTTTATGCCTCCTGAGACCTTGCCACTCTGTGTCGTGTGTAAATTTCATTACTGGGGTTTCCTAATTCATCACCTATGAATACAAATAATGTTAATAATAACTACCATTAATGAACACTTAACCATGTGCCAGGCATTGTGTTAGATTATTAGTACCACGGATTTTATGTAGATTACCTAATTTAATGTTCACAGGAACCTTCAGAGGTAAATATTATTCTTTCCTCAAATGAAAAAACTAAGGTGCAGAGAAACCAAAGAAACTTACTTCAGGTCACACCCAAAAATTCAAATCCAGTTCTCTGTGATTCCAGAACCATGTTAACTATCACATCATACCAAGCTGAAGGGTGAATGTATGGGACATTACAATCTTGGGCAGAAACATTTTTATTAAAGTTACTTAATACATTAATGCTTTGACAGTTAATAGTTTTCAAAAGAAGATCAAAGAGAAGAGAACAATATGGAAGGAAAATAGAAGCAATTGTGAAGAATACACAGCTTGACAAAACGGATGGGGAAAATGTCTGTGCAAATGTGCTACTAAATAGGTGAATAAGACAGAATACCTGTTTTGAGGGAAGGAAGGCAGTATATCAAGCAACTCTCCAACCAGCCCAAACCACCCTACCACCCATACCAGCCCAGTGCAAAATGAAACCCTGTGTTCAAAAATTAAGAATATCAAGGTGGCAACAGCAGAGCATTAAACCAAACATGGGGATCTTCTAAGTGTGGGACCCTGTTGCCAGTCCATGAAGCCACCCCACATCTATATTCTGATACCTCCCACAACAGTGTCTCCAGCCCAGATTTGTCTCCTGAGCCCAGACTCATTTATCCAGTGGCCTCTTGGACAGTGACGTGTTGATAAATGTTTAACTACTGGCTCTCAGGGTGGGAAAGGCCTTGAAGCATAGCATTTGCCAATTTTTGTAGTTTAAATACTGCAAACATGGCCAATTTCCAGCTACCAAACTGACATCATTGAAGGCAAGAGATGTGCAGCCTAGACTCATATCATTCACATGATCTCATGTTTTCCTCAAAACTGTCTCTTTTCCTATGTTCCCCATCTCCATAAATGGACCCTCATCTTCCCATTCACTCAAAGCTGCACATATACATTTCTCTTCCTTACAGAATACATTTAACTGTGGCAGAGAAACAACAACAGAAATAGTCATAAATTGGCAGCCTTTCTCTCTGCTCCTTCTGCTTGCTGAATTCGTTCTGAAGCTCTTCTCACTTATGCAGAATCCTAACACCGAGCCAAAGGTGAAGGATTTCAGAAGCTAGAAAGGCTAGATAAACCCTGATCATGAGGAGGTGAGGGAGAATGAGAAGCCACTTCAGATGGACGCTGGGGAATGTTTCAGAGCACACAGAAAGAAGAGGAGAGAGTTTTGTTTATAAGCTTCTTCCTAAGCGTGTGAAAGATTTTGAAAGTGAGAGAGATGGCAAAAGAGAAATTTTGCTCTGCATTAAAAATAATACTATAAAGGTATTTGAGGTTTCCTCAAGAGCCTGAGTAAATCTCTGAAATGCTTCCATTTATATTTTTCTGCTGAAATAATAATTACTGTAGTGTAATACTTTACTGAAACAAGACCACGTTGCACCCTGGGTTTATAAGGGTTCTTCAGTCAACCACCAAGTTCTATCAATTCTACCTCTCAGCATGGTATTGTAAAGAGCTACCTAGTCACTTGTGCACTCATTCATTCATTTATTTTTTTATTTTATTTTTTGCTGAGAAAGATTTGTCCTGAGCTAAGATCTATTGCCAATCTTCCTCATTTTTTTTTTTCCTCCCCAAAGATCCAGTGCATGGTTGTACATCTAGTTGTAAATCCTTCTGGTTCTTCTGTGTGAGCTGCCGCTACAGCATGGCAACTAACAGACCAGTGGTGTGGTTCCACAGAAGTGAACCTGGGCCACCAAGGCAGTGAGAGCACTGAACGTTAACCAGTAGGCCATCAGGGCTGGCTCTCATTCATTCATTTATTAAGCAGCCCTCTCATTTATTAAATTTTGCTAATCGTAATTTGTTTTTATTTTACCTATAACTTTGACTCCCTGCTATTTCATTCCTTTTTCTACTCTAGTCATTAATTCATGTCAACTGGTAATAGCTAAACTCTTCTTCATATACATGTACTGGGTTGCCTACCCCAGTTGGCTGTATCTAAAGTGCCTAAAAGTGGCTGTAAGAGAGACTATCCTCATCTCCTATACACAACCAAATCATGTAGATTCTACCTGCCTAACATGTCTTAACCCTTCCTCTTCTCATTATCCCCACTGTCTCTACCTTGGTTAGAGCTTAATAAAAATGCTTATTCTATATATTGCCACATATCTAAGGTGTTAAGAATAATAGATAGTGATAGTTTCCTACTTTAGTTTATTTATTGCCATTTAGAGTGTGAGATGCGTAATCACAATCTCCTGAAATGATAAACACTGAACCTTCTTCTATTTTTCATATTGCTTCCTGTCATAAATTAAGCCCCGAAGAAACCTATAGGTATTTATCTTTAAATTCTGCATAAACCAAATATCACATTTCTCTAAGTTACTGTTTCTTCCTCTGAAAAACATATACAATTTTATGTTAAGAGATTTGATATCAGGGAAAAAATATGCAGTTCACTAGGGTCTGATCTGCAAGCCCAACATTGAAATGGTAAATTTAGAGGCAGAAGGAAGGAAAGTTGAGAGAATTCACACAGAGAGCTTCTATTATCTCTGTGCTGCAGAAGAAAATACTATCTTGCCTGAATCTTCCAGCACTTTGCATCATGGTAAAGGCAGGTGTTTAATAAATATTTGTTAAATGAATTAATCTAAGAGTGAAGGATAATGTAGACATGAAGGAAGAAGGAAGAAGGGAGGCACCTTGAGGAGAGTTGAATAGCTACTATGATGTGCCTAGTATTGTGTTGGATGCTATTATGGGATATATGTGTCCATATATGGTTTCTGCTTTTAGTGATCCTTTAAAGAGAATATTGATAGAACTCCATTTCCAACAATGTGGTGAGCTAAATATTTTAAATCACTCTTCTAAAACAATAAAAAATGCTGTATTGAGAAAAATGTTTAAATCTTCTAAATGCATTGCCAATTTAGCAAGAATGAAAAGAATTCAGAAAAGCCCAAAGCTGAGTGAAAACAGAAACCTTGGGAGGTAAGCAAGCATTGAAATCAGGTTTAACCCTAAGTATACCTGCCTATGGCCTGGTGACCTGAAACTATTGTTTTGATAGTTGCACAGGGAGGCAGAAACAAGAGATAAGTCTAGGGCCTTCCCAAGATGGACAGTCTAAAAGGAGTCCCCCATGTAAATCTGGAATCTCAAAGAGTTCCACCATAAATGTAATGGTCAACAAGAATTAACCCTCTTCACAGAGCAAGTACAGCAAGGAGACATGCTTGTTTTTACATTTGTGCCAAAGTCAGAGGTGGGAGGGAGGGATAAAGGAATTTCCCCCTAATAATTCATAATCATAACAGTTGATTCTTGGGTAGCTTTTAAACCTAATTACTCTATCTTCATGATCTAAAGAGAATTAAATTTAAAGTGATTCTGGGTTGGAAATGCTCTCAGACAGCTGAGAGAGTCAAAACAAATCCTATCTGGAGGAACACAATTTCTACTAAATCTACAAATAATTCCCACAGATAATGTTCCAAGGAACATGAACTCACAGTCAAAAAACATAAAACTTAAAAGAAAACAAGCCATGAATGAGACCCTGAAGAAATAGCAGATAAAAAATGAAAAAAAAA